TTTTGGTTGAACGATGCTCGCGAAATTGGTCACGAGTCGCCGGTAACAAGATGCAATTCCAAGACAGCGACGTAGCTCCTTGCAAGTGGTTGGGGGACTAAGTTGACGAACCGCTGATATTTCTCTGTGTACATTTGAACTCCTTTCTCGCTTATGGCGTGGCCAAGGTATACCGAGTTGCGCTTGAAATAACTATATTTCTTCGAGTTGAGGGGAAGATTCGTCTCCCTCAGTCGTTAAGACACTTCAATTTCCAGTTATACAGTCCCCTTCCCGGCACTTTAAAAGCAGTGCATTCGCGTGCAATAGACTAGTCTTGACCCACTTTTCAAGTCCATCGTCGAGATATACTTGGGGTGTTGCAGCCGCTCCAAAATGTGTGTAATTCTGGGCAGCGGTTACGCGTCGGGTATCGAGTAACCTTCACTTGTCGAAAGTCGACGCAGTCGCGTTTCTTCTGATTTCTTGCCCACAAGTACAATAATCCATTGCATCACTGGATTCTTGGGAAAATATCGCTGTTTGATGGGTTTCTTATCGCGCACGGTGATGGAGTGCACCGCGATATGTGATACGCCAGCCAATCCTTCGAGCTTGGCCAAATCCTCAGCGAGAAACTGGTTTACCCGTGGTTATGCGGGTCCTGGGATTCCTTAATAACGGCTAGTGGTCCAGCGATGTCAAGAGAAAAATCTAGTCTAACTGGGGTGCCTTCATTTGGTTATCCTAGTGGGATACTGCGTTGTTCCCTGTCTTGCTCTGCTCTGCTCTGGAAATTCTGGTGCTCTGCTCGATCTCGGGTCTTGTGGGGTTTTAGTTTCCTGTCGGAAAGGGTTATTTCGTACAGCTACTGCATCACTAAGTCCCAGGATGTCTTACCCTCGGAATCGCTGGCTCGTGACTCGGCAATAGGGGATAAATCTGGATCGTCTTTATTGGTGGATCCAAGAAGATGGGTCAGCTGTAGGGATGCGCGACCACATTGCAGCGTGGCGGACACAAGTAAGTGGAACCTAACGCACCGCTGGTCTAATTAAACCCTCGCAAGTAGTGACTTGTTAATCTTCTTCTTCGAGCCTTCAGCAAAGCTGACCTGCGTTCACACCATCCTTATGTTATTGATGTTTTCACAAGTCGAACGACCCGCTTACTCACGAATCTCCTGCTGGCACCCGTAACCATCGTAGCGTCGCAAGTCTGCCCCTCGATTCTCACTTGTGCGATAATGTGGCATCCAGTATCTAATGATTCTGTTCAGTTCCGGAGGTTTCTCCTGGTAGTCGCCGACCGCTTCCTGGAGGGTCGAAGACCTCTTCCGGGCAAACCCCACAGAAAACAAGGAAGAACGCTATAGTCGAGTACCTCGACTATCAGATACCCGTTACTCAGCTAAAGGGACCAAAGGGAAATGGAAATTGCAAGCAGTAGTGCGAGATTGAAATGCGTCACCTACCCGCGATCTCAATATATGGTTATGTGGGCGGTAGACATTTCTAAGCGTTAGGGGAGTTAGAGTGGGCGTGGCAAGCTTATTTGTTGGGTCAATCGATAGGTGTTGACGAGCCTAATACATTTCAGTTAACATTTTTTTTAGCATGAAAATTGTGGGCGCCACAGGCCTAGGCGGATTGTGGGCGTTAGAGTGGGCGTGGCAAACTTTATTTTGGATCAATCGATAGGTATTTATGAGAAAAATACATTTTAGGTAACATTTTTATTCTGGCATTTAAACTGTAGGAGCCACAGTTTTGGGCGGCTTGTGGGCGTTAGAGTGGGCGTGGCACACTGACGAAACAAACTTCCCCTGCGCAAGAAGCTCAGGAATCTACTTGCCAAGTCCCAACTTTATAGCTTTTGTAGTTTCCGAGATCTCAGGGCTCATACGGACAGACGGACATGGCTAGATCGACCCGGCTACTAATCCTAATAAAAAACGCTTCTGATCGGAGACGCTTCCTTCTACCTGTTACATACTTTCCGACGAATCTACTATACCCTTTTACTCTACGAGTAACGGGTATAATGATCCTGCAACATAATGATTGCAACAGCCGCGCGAGAAATGGCCTTGGTGGGCACAATGTCCACAAGCCTTTCGAAAATTCGGGACTGTTTGCCGATTTTTTAAAGGATTCCAAATTCGAGTCTCTGGAATAAATGCAGATAACACCGGTTCTCGCTCTCGAATTTCCACGGAATTAGAGGGGCCTGTATTATCGGCTTGTATTGCCCCGGACGAGACTGAGCCTCCGTCTGCATGGTTCCTAGTATACCGATCCCGCGTGACCTCGTAGGTGACGGCCAGTTCGGTCAACTTCTCTTGAGTCTCAAACTCGTGCCTCCTAGTAAAGAGCTGGTACTCCGTGTTTAGGTTGGGTGGGATTTTATCCAGCTTGGAGCATCATCAGTCGAAGGTTAACCAGATATTGTATGAAGGATTCCCCGGGATGTAATCTTCGAGCCGCTGAAAATATTTGGGTGGCAGTAAAAAGTCCAGAACTTGTTTAAACTTGGCCCAAAATGCACCCAGAAGCAGGCTGGTTCCGAACCAGTGTTTTGCGGCTTCCGTTAACAGGCCTGGAATTGCTTGTGGCATTTTTTGCTCGCTCCTCGAGGTGTTGAATAAACGTGATGGTGGATCCGTCAAATGTGATTTCCCTGATCCTTAGCTTCTCTGCCAATGTAGTGGCGGACATGTCGGCCCTGCTCGAGAATGTACACTTATTATTTGACAAAGCCAATTTCAAAGGCTCGAAAATAAAATAAATTAAAGGGGAGATTTTATTATGCTTAATGGGTTGGTGACTGTACACCCGCTGGTGCTTGCGAAAGCTAACAGCACAGTGAATCGCGTAACTGAACTCGACGACGACTGGATGTTAGGGTGTCCCTTATTTTTCATGTTTGATATATTTTTACGCATACCTTCTTAAAACGTTCCTAATAACTCAATATGTTCTAGAAAAAAATACTAGCCCGTTGCATGCAAGAGAACACGTGCCGACTTGCAATTTAAGCTTGTCCGTACAAGTTGGTGCGGTTACAGCGCTGCGACTATGGACTACGCTTCATTCGTTATTTCATTCGTAAGTTTTGGTGTTATTGGTGCACTATTGTTTGTTGAGTAAAGATGTCAGTGACATTACGTAGTGATAAAGAAAATATTTTTCTTATCGGGCTACCTAGTCATCAAATCACTGGTGCAAAGTTACCATCAAATCGCCAGGTTCTCTCCGTTTTATTTTATAATATTCGGCAAGTCAAGCTAACTCTCAGTGAAAGTGCAAATCTTGTGACTAGGGAGTGTTTAATATTTTGGGAAAAAGCGAGAATTCCCACAAGGGCATTGCCCAATTGCGTGAAGAAACTTATTGATTTATACCATGCTTGGAGAGAGCTGCAAAAAAATTGTAAAAAAACTCTAGCCACTTTCAAGGACCGAGAAAAGAATTTTAAAATAAGCCTTGATAACTTATTTGATATTGCACATGCTGATGCCTTGAAAATAATAAAAATAGAGGAAGACAAACTATTTTTGAATAAACAAAGAGAACCAGGTCGACCAGGATATTTAGCTGGTGTAGACAAAAAATTGACGGAGAAAGAAGAAAGAGTTAGACAGAGACGATTAGACGATGAGGAAAGAAAATTAAGACAAATGGAATTATTGGCTGTTGCATCTACTTCTACTACACAAAACTTGGAACATTCCGAAGATTCGGACGGGGAACAGATTTTGTATTCTGAAATCAGCTTGCCAGTGGTTCTCGGCTCTAAAACAAGTTCGAAAAGAGGTAGAAAGAAACTGATAACACCTAAACTTGTCGCAGCTTTAGACCGTTGTCAGTTGAGCATTAGAGACTCCGTTTACATTCTTCATGCGGTTGTAGAAGCGCTTGGTCTGAGCAGTGATGATTTCCCAATTAATAAATCCTCGATTCAGCGAATTCGTACTCAGATGAGAAAATCTAGGGCAGAAGCAATAAAAACTGATTTTCAGAACAATGTTCCTGATGTAGTCACAGTCCATTGGGATGGAAAACTATTACCAGGGCTGAATGTGCGAGTTTCAAAAGAAGAACGCTTGCCAATTATAGTTTCATTTGACGACAAAGAACAGCTTCTTGCAGTACCAAAACTGGAGAGTTCTTCTGGTAAACATCAATCAAAAGCCGTCTCAACCGCCCTTTGTGACTGGGATCTTAATAACAAGGTACAAATAATGTGCTGCGACACCACATCTTCGAATACTGGACGTTACAATGGAGCTTGCGCTCTTTTAGAACACACTTTAGAAAGAGAATTGTTATTGTTCGCTTGTCGTCATCATGTTTATGAGTTGGTCTTAAAAACTGTCTTCGAAACCAAGATAAAGCACATTACTAACAGCGCAGATATTCCGCTCTTTAAGAAGTTCAGAGACAATTGGAAAAACATCGATTCAAATAAAATTGAACTATGCCTTGATTTCGTTAAAGAATATGTTGCTGAGACAAATATTACATCTTTGATAATGTTTTATAAAGCAGAACTAGAAAAATCTTTCATAAGAGACGAACTAGTTGAACTTTGCGTAGTGTTTCTGGGAGGAGATACAAACAAGAAAATAAAAATCAGGCCCCCTGGAGCTATGCATCAGGCACGGTGGATGGCAAGAGCGATTTACTCTTTAAAAATATGTTTGCTGCAATCTCAAGTCAGAATGATTGTAAAAGACAAAAGGGCCCTACAAGATGTTTGCCTATTTATCGTCACATTGTATGTAAAGCCTTGGCTTGAATGCACAGTGGCGATTAAAGCACCTAACCAAGATTTGGACTTCTTGAAGGCATTAAAAGAGTACGAAAAAGTTGACACAACAGTTTCAAAAGCTGCTTTAAGCAAGTTCAGCCACCACCTATGGTACTTGTGTGAAGAGACAGTCATTTTATCACTGTTTGATAATGAGGTTGATAACCAAACCAAAATGAAAATGATTGAAAACTTAGACAGGAACAAGAGGTCAGATGTTGGCAAACGCTATATTCCATCAAAGGAAGAAATGTCCCAAACGTTGTTTGGTAAGCTAAAATTATTTTTTGTGTCTGTTTTTTATATACTTTACGTTGTAATTCTTTTTGTTAATTAACCTGTTTTTTGTTTCAGATAAAACGCTGGATGATTTTGTATCGGAGAAGAGCAAACAATTTCTAACTCGACTGCAGATTGACGACAGTTTTCTTCAGGAAGATATATCTTCTTGGGATGATAATGCTGCTTTTCTGAAAGCTAAAAGTAGGATAAGTCGGTTGAAGGTTGTAAATGACACTGCTGAGAGGGCTGTCAAATTAATGCAAGATTTTCAAGGACTTATCACGGCGGAAGAAGAACAAAAACAATACCTGTTGCGCTGTGTCAACGAACATAGACATTTATATCCGGACTGTAAAAAAACCACACTAAATAGAAGTTACCCTGCCTGATTGTTATTATTTTATGTGTTTAAATAAATATAAATATTACAATAAATTCATTTTCCATTTTATTCACTTCATTAATTTCATTTTGATTAATTTTATAGAAGATTGGAATAATAGGACAAAAAACATTTTTTGATCAAATTTGAAGCTCGGTCGGCACGGGTTGCAATCATGCTAGAAAGATCAAATTTCATATTTGAGTAAGGTTTTACATTTATAAAAGATACAGGGGGTATGCATTACAAAATTCGAAAAAAAATTTTTTTTTGCCATATAAGGGACATCCAGTGGATGTGCACCCTGCTCAGCGAAGACTCGCTAGGCGATCTTGACTAGGCGACGGTTAAAAGTGAACTCCCTCCGTAGCCCGAGCGATAGACCTTCGGTAGTCGATCGTTTCAGTGGAGGAAGAGACGGTGAGAGAGCGAATAAAAATGGCGTGGGGTATGTATAAAGGTGTACCATGTGCTGTATGATGGCTTGGCGATACTTGCTTAATTTTTTTTCTTGAAGTTATGTCAAATTTGTTTGCATTGCCTCCATTCCACTTAATTTTTGCGTCTCTTCCCGTTGAACTTTGATTTTCTGGAATACCGCGGCAGGGTATGTATGGAAGTTCCTAGGGCTGGGGTCGACTCAGTCTCCCCATGATGAACGGCGAGCTGAAGATAGGTGTAAGTTTTCAGTCGCCGGGTGAAATATTGAACCTTGCACTGCATCAAGATCAGGGGGAAAATTACGTGGACGTGTTCAATTTAGTCACACCATTTCGCTGCTTTCTTTTGAGTGACCTGCTGGCCACGCACTCACCCGCTTCTCCTCTCCACACACGCACCCGCTTCTCTCCTCTTCTGCAGGATTTCGCTGATCCCCGCCCAGGCCCCTGCTGCTGTCTACTTGTGGCGCCAAACGGTCACCGGACGCATTCTGTTCTCTTGACTTGTTCAGTGCCAATCGGCCGCTGCTCAAGGACTGACTTAGTGGCAATCGGCCGCTGCTACCGTACTGACTCCTCGCGTTTTGCCAGCTCTTGCCTTTAGTCAGCTTTTAACTCCACTCATCTATTTCTCTCGCTCATTCCGATGGTTTATCTTAAATCAAATGCCTATTAAAATTTTTCTTGAAATGCATACTAAATATGAACACAATGATTTAAGTCCTTTACCAAAGCTGCTATGGAGGGAGAGACACAGACAAAATTTTTAGTGGAAAAAAGTCTTCTATATCAAAGGTCGAGGAATCTCAAAGGCTTTAAAGTTTGAAATTTAAAAAGAACCAAAAAGTGGTTAAAAATAAAAACTTTTAGCTATATCTTTATTGTATTAAGACAATTTAAACATAGCTAGCGCGATTAGCAAATTATATTACCTTTTCAGCAACATATAGCAAGTATCTGTAGCATTAGTTGTTTAGAAACTATAATCCTTTAAAATTTTTTTAAAGACCCCAGGACCCTAAAACCAAAATGGGATTCATACAAACCAACAATAATAACATACATACACCAACATAATCTTGTTTTTGAAATAACTTTTGAACGGAGCATCGGATTCTAACATTGTCATTCGACGGGTGCTCCTAGTAGGAACAAAGCTAGGTAATAGCCAGGGGCATTTATCGCCACAGACCTAAACAGCTCATATTTTCTAAATCTTTACTTGTAAACTCTCACCCCTGTTTCTCTTAAAACAATTTAAGCTTCCGAAGTCTTGGTATGCAATCTTCTTAGTTTTTCCGATACCTTTAGATTGGTGCACGATTCGTTACAATCAGGTTATCCCAGCAGATTTTCAATTCTTCGGCTATATATAGTAGATGCTTCGCACACCCTCCTGGTGCGCTTCGTCACAACGTGGACTGCCGTCCACAGTGAGGTATGTGCATCAAGTTAGCAAAACAACAACAGAACAACCGAAACTTTTTTCTTTTTTACAGTTTGACGTAATTTGGGCCCACTACTCAACCTAACAAAAACTGACCCAAAAAATACTATTTTCCGACCATTATTTCTTAAGGTCCAGTATATATTAATTATGGTAATATCGTCGTTTGAAGTTACGGTCAAAATTGTAAACAGCAAATAAAATGGATATTGCACTTCTAAAAAGAAACGCATGTCGTAATAGCTACTGTTGTTACAGCATTAGTTATCAAGGACGAAGACAATAAGAAGCGACCTAGATCTTGTTGGGTTAATCCGTATTTGGCCGAAAGTCTTAGGAAAGAACGATTTTCAACAGATTTAAGATTTGCAAAAACATGAATATCTTGTTTCACAGTTTAAAAATTAAACGAAAATCGGTCGCTGAATGGTCCATTTCCAAGTACTTGAGAGTGAGTTGTTCTGAAAATGGCGAGTACTATTCATGAAATTTTTAACCTATGTATCTAGATTCGGGTGATATTCAACGTCATATTCCGTCATCTTATCTAATAAGCAAACAACGTGTAGGACCGATATTTCAATTTGTTTGCACGAAAATATGCAAGCCACTTTAACATGAAGTGCCTCCCTGGGCCAAGGAAACGGTGTTGAAAAATGCTGAGGACTTTGAAAATGTGTGGAATTTTCCTAACTGTGTAGGAGCGATTGACGGGAAACACGTTCCCATGAAGGCCCAACCTAAAAGTGGCAGCGTATTCTTTTACTATAATGTAGTTTTAATTACATGAATATATCTTTCTGGGATTAAACTAACTGTTTTATTCTTGAAATAATTCCACTCGATTGTAATATTGGCTGTTAGTGACGATAATACAGATACACTTATTTGGATATTGGAGCGTATGGAAGTGAAGGAGATATATACGCATTTTCTCATTGTTAGCTTGGCAGAGCCATCCTTCTGGACCAGTTTAACTTTCCAGATGACAAGCCACGAAATAAAGTTATGGTGCCATATTACTTGGTGGCAGATGATGCATTTTCATTGTCTATGCAAATTATGAAGCCGTATTTAAGTATCCGCCGAGCATCTCCACTGGGCCCATGTTTTCTTTCCTTTTTCCCTTGCCCGGTTTCCCCTTTTGTTTCTAAGAATAGATCGGAGGTTAAAACAGTTCGATAATATTAAAATATTGCTTACATAGTCATAATTGCTTTACGGTTTTGATGCCGAATAGCTTGAGACTTCATCGTCTCGTCGCCTTCGGTGAAATTTGTGTTGAATGTTCTAAAAAATTGGTATTTCATATCTGCCCAGACAGCGTTTTTGTCGCAATGCTTCGGGTTAGTGAGGTCTCAAATTGGGCCATGGTTTTTAATGCAATGAATTAGCTAGTTCTTTTTCATCACATGAGAACCCATTGCGAACGCATTTTGTTGGGACTTAACTTAAAATGACTACACCCTGTCGTCTATCGAAAATGCTCAATAGGTCAAGAAGTTTATAAAATGATTTATTTCTTGAGCGGTATTTTCGTATTGTTTTTTTTTTTTGAGGCACGGAGACTGCCGTCCAAAAGCTTCAACCAAAAGTTTGCAACCAAAAATTTTGTGACGTTTATTTTATATGTTTTTGGTTTTGGACGACATTTTGGTTGGTTGAATACTAGGCCTTATCCGAAAATTATTCGTGAGAGAAACAAATTTTTTTTTAACTACGAGATGTTCTGCTAATTTGATATCAAGTTAGCAGTACAAATCACTAAAAAAATAATTTTTTTCAAAATGTTTTTTATTCAGATTTTGCCGTTACTTATCTGTAAATTAGTACCATTCAGCTCAGTAAGCGCATTTTCCGGATGCTCCATTTGCAACATGGATCGGTTAATCCTTTCTGCTGCATTTGCCTGTGCAGCATAAAAGCCTTTTCATACGTAACTCGGCGAACACTTGAGATACGGACTGCTTGCTGTTATCGCTGTATAAACTTTGGCACCCCAAACTGATGAAAAATGTTCTTCTCAAGAAAGCTGGTGACTTCTCCCGCTGTGGCCTTTCGCATCGGCTAGACAGACGAACTTGGAGAAATGTTCTAGGTATACAAAGATGACGGGGTCGCGTCGTTCGTGGATATTGTCCCATGTCCCAAATCATGGATATGGTACCAAATCAATGTTAAATCCTTGGCCGGAACGTTCGGTAATTTGTTGTTTACCCGTTGGCCGTTTTCGCATTTCTGAATTCTGACTGTCATGCCGGGCCAATAATAGAACTGCCTTATTCTTTTCAGTGTCTTATGGACTCCCCCATGCCCTGCTGTCTTAGCATGATGAGCTTGGTTGACGATATTCTGTCTAAGCTCCAACGGCACCCAAAGTTTCCATGCTCGATCTTCGATAATCTGTTCACCCGGCCGGAATCCTTTTTTTTATACACGTAACCAACCGATGTCTGGTTGTCTAAAACTTTTCCTGCGCACTTCTCCACTGTCAGAACGAGTTCATGATATTCTGTAAACTGAAACGAGTCAGACTTCAGGTCAATTTGAATTTCTGACCCGTCCCCTGTTGTTACCTCCTCCATATGTGTTCTTGAGAGCCCGTCTGGGCCTACATTCAGTGCCACTTTTCCATGCTCAATCGGGAAATCAAAGGCATGCATTTGTAGGCTCCACCTTGCTAGTCTTCCTGACAAATCTTTCTGTCCCATGAGCCATTTAAGACTAGCGTGATCTGTAATCACCTTAAAAGGCATACCTTCTACATATGTTCAGAATTTGCTAGGGCTCTAGATTGCGGCATAACGTTCATGTTCTGTAATGGAATAGTTTCGCTGCGCTTTCTTTAACTTCGCCGATATTTATGCGATTGGGTGTTCTCGGCTTTCCTCGTCGGTTTGAAATATAACGCCACCTACTCCGGTCGTCGAAGCGCCGCACTGAATTGTGAATGGCTTAGATAAGCTCTGTACTATTAATACTGGCGCAGAAACCACGCTTGCTTCCGCGTAGCTCTGAATAAAACTCGGGTACCATCTGGTCATTCCCAAAAATCTCCGTATTTGCTTAGCGGAAGTGGGCTGGGGAAACACTCGTATCGCCTGCATTTTTGACTGGTCGGTTTTAATGCAACACATGCCCACAATATACCCCAAGTATTTGACTTGGTAGAATTTACTTTTTTAACATTCATATTCAGCTTGGCCCTCCTCAAACATACACCGACCTGTCGCAACATATTTAAATGTTGCTTAAAAGTGGGAGAAGAAACCAGTAAATCGTCTATATATACAAATATATGCTCACGTAGCGCGGCTGGAATAACTTTGTCAATTCGCCAGAAGGCACCATATAAATCGATTGCCGAAATATAGGATGTCTCT